TATTTATTAATACCATTCATAAACTTTAAATTCATACATAAATCTCATTGCTATTGATCCAGAGTTCTCAGTGTATTCATTCGTCGAAATGTCCTGGGAACTCGAAATTGATGTCGCGCACGTGTATTGGCATTTCCTATTCTTAATTCTCACATACATACACACATAATATTCCTCCACACACTTAACATAAGCAATCTCCCAACGAATCAGAAGCGCTTACATACATAAAACAACAACAAACAAAAATGCATTAAATACCTAAAAATATTACCACCAGCTAATCCAACTTATCCAGCTGCCAATTCGTGTTCAACGATTAAATAACACAAATGTTTCCTTACATCCCTTGGCTACTTTTATTATCACGAAAGCTTTTTGTATTGTTAATACAAAACAAAAATATATGAGTGTGTCTGGCTTTTACTTATTCGTTGGAAAACCAAATTAATCTACGACAATGTAGTAGTACAATGAATGTCTAAAACAATAATAACAGCAGCAAAAGAAAAAAATTATACTTGGAAAGAAACAGTTGAGCAAGCTACAGTTTCAAAAAATATTTGAAAGTATTTGAAAGTACTTGTAAATGAAGACCTAATTAGTAAATAAAATGAAATAAAATCAAATAAAATAAAATCAAATAAAATAAAATAAAATAAAATAAAATGAAATAAAATAAAATAAAATATAATAAAATAAAATAAAATAAAATAAAATAAAATTATATAAAATAAAATAAAATAAAATAAAATTATATAAAATAAAGTAAAAGAAAATAAAATAAAATAATATGAAATAAAATAATATATAATATAAAATCAAATAAAGTAAATAAAAATAATAGATAGGAGTGTCCAGCATAACAGACCAGATATTATTATTGTCGCGAAAAAGGAAAAGAGAGCTCTTCTTATTGATGTCGGAATACCTAATTCTCATAATTCTCAAGAATGCTATGGGGAAAAGAGCAGGAAGTATCAGCAATTGGCAGTAAAAGTAAAGCAGAAGTGGCACTTGGACAAAGTTATAGTTGTACCGATTATTATTTCATCGACAGCAGTAGTTTCCAAAACATTGCTTAGGATTTTGGAGGAGCTCCAAAAAAAGATAAATTAAAAATATAAAATAACATATAATAATTAAAAAAAAAAAAAACAAATGAAATAATTTATAATGAAATAAAATAAAATGAAAAAAAAAAAATAAAATTGTATTTAAATTATATTAAATAAAACCTTACAATTTTAATTTGTATTATTAATTAAATATTAATAAAACTATTTTAAATATTTTCTTTAGTTTGTAAAAAAGAATCATTAAAGACTTTGTGTTTTATTCACATTTAATTTAATCAGACCGTTAACTCTATGCAACTTAATCTATAAACATGTCCCACAAATGGTGCAGACAAACGTGATTATTTAACTAAACACAGATGCCTGTTTATAATGTGTACAGTAATTGTAAGCCGCTGATTCTCTTTATTCAATTTGTATTGAATTTTACAAAAGGGTATGCTGACTTGAATTTTAAGCAGCTGTACATGAATTTGTAAATTTTATTACCTGTCTCACAATAAGCTAATTAAAATAAAGCAATTGAACACGGGTATAAATGTTAACCCATTGAGGGTAGTGAATACTTTAGAATTAAATTTTCTTCGTGATACACTCTACTCTACTGAACGTACTCCCTTGAGACCACAAAGTAATACCGCAACTTGATGTAAATAATTCAGGTGTCAGGAGAATTATGTTTTCTTTTTTTTTAACCACAAAAGAACGGCTAATTTTTTCTCCAATCCCAACAGCATACAAATACATGCACAAATCGCTTGTTAGCTAAGTATCGACACCTGTGTGTATTTTTAATTTAATTACACTAAGTACTTTAAGTGCATAAGCACTTTACTCTTCTCTTATCGCAGTTTATGTCATTTTAGTTTCACCTCATTTACTCAATTAAAATGACGTTGTAATGAAGTGGAAGTGGAAGTGCCAGTGGTGAAAGAAAAATATGGTGAAAAAAAGAAGAACAAGAACTTGCATTGCAGTGAAGGTGCATAAACAGTATTAAAGAAAATATTTATACAGCCGTATAGATGCGCATACATACATACATACATACATAACTGCTAGCGCCCAACGTGACTCATTCAATATTACTCATACGCTCCGTTGTACGCGCTGTGTAAATGTTGTGGCCACACTTATGACGTTCAAGTGGAAATGGCTAATTAAATTTGCAGGGCATGCATAACTACAGTTAGCTATATATTTATATATACAGATATGCTTGTATATCTATCGAGCAATAGCTGTAAAGTTAGTTTGCTGGAAAGCGCTATAGAAATTACTGTTATCGCCGTAATAATTACTGGCTTGCTTGCTGTCGGTGGCTGAAGGATGGGAATAAATGTTAAAAGTAGCGGAAAATAGTTATGTAGGAAATGTAATTGTTTCAAGCTGCGAAAAGAGTAGCATGAACGAGCAAATAAGTTGAGACTTAAATATGTATGTGGATTACAAGGTTGGAATATTTTTATATCGATCCACAGGAATGCTAATATTTATTTCTTTAAGGAAAAGGTAGCCAAGTGTGCTTACGAGTAACTGATATTTCATAGATAAATTAGAAAAAGAACTGCAAAATTTTATTCTTTAAAAAATATAGACGCTCATTAGCACTGAATTCTTATAAAATGTATAATCTAAACTCGGCGGCCGCAAAGCGGAGTGGTTCGCATTGCATAGTGCCGTTCCAGCTTTCGAATCCTGGTTCGATTAACATTCAAAATTATAGAAAAAGAGTTTTTTAATTGTGTTCGCTACAAAACAAAGGATTTCAAATCCTTCGAGTGTATTTATGACATTAAATAAAATTTTCCCATAAAAACCTATCTACCGTTCCATGGCGGGAATTGTGATGTCAAACATGCATCGTGTGCTGGTCAGCCAGATACTCAAAAAGCAATTAAAAATCTGCAATTGGCGGAACAAGCAACACAGGAAAACTATCAGGAAGTAAAAGAGTCGAAATCAAACCCACAAAGCAAAAACGGGTGACGGGTATATAAAAAAAAAAATAAAATAATTACCAAAGGCAGGCGACCCTATTCAAGCGCTTTAATGCTTTATGCTTGTATTGACGGCAAACAAGGTGTTGAGGGTTTGGTGGGATTGAGAAAGTGTTATCCATTATAGGTGGCTATAAGAGAGCGTGATTGTCAATTCTGAGCTCTTCTGTCTACACTTAGCTAAGCAACTTAAAACAATTTTAAGGACTCCAACAGTGATCAAAAAAAAAAAAAAAAAAAAGGTGTAGTACTTCATCAAGAGAACGCTGGACAGCAAACATCCTTGATTCGGAAGTTAGCCCCGATTAAGTAGTTAGTAGTTAGATGAATGAATAGAAAATCATTAACCGATGAGCATGTCCTAGGAAAATCTGAAGTGTAAGCATCAAATATATAGAAAATGTTTGAAATATCTTAGCTTTCGATGTGATACTGCCGTTAAAACAGAGCCAGATGCCGTTACATCCTCAACCTCACTGCATAGTGTTTGCTCTATGAACAGAGGAAATCATTGATCCATATTTCTGCTATAGAACAAGGATTAATGACTCTTTGGTGTCTGAATTGAAAGCTGTTGATATGGACGATTTGTGGTTTCAAAAAGACGGCGCTTGAAAGAGACTGTTGATGAGCGCATTATCTCGGGTCGTGGACCTGGCTTAAACATTAAACTATATATGTATTTTTTTTGCTTTTTGAAAACCAAAATCATTATTAACTCATCTATTAGGCGTAGTAAAAAGAAATCCATTATTTTTCCAATGGATGTCGTTGTTTATATATATCTTGCGTTGTATAAGTTCGATCGGATTCCGCTGGATGGCATTAGAAAGATGACATTTCATACTAAAAAGGCTTTTCTGACTGTTTCGTGATTGGTTGATTTAATTTTGTTTGAGCGTGCACCAAAGTGCGTGCAAAGTGGAAATTCGTTATATCTTAGATGTTGTCTTCGATTAGGCGAAAACGCAAGCCAGCCGGTTGAAAATGTGGATGTTTATGTGAAAATGGTCCCGTTACTGTTACAGTCAAGCATGCAAAATTCGGTTTTCATTCCGGTAATTTTGATGTGAAAAGTGCTTCACGGGGTGGAGGGCTAATTGTCGAAAAAGTCGATGAAATAATGGACATTGTTGAGTCCGACCGTCTTGTAGGAAGATTGCACAAAAACCCCTTTAGAACCATCGAGAAAATATTCACCTTATTTGATTTTATATTACTATTTTCCCAAACCAAAGGAATTTTTGCCTTTAAGCACAGGGTGTTTCATAGAAATATTTGTTTTTTTTTAATTTACTTCTTTCTTTTTACAGTCAATTATTTTGACATACTTTTATACCAGGGCATACGGGGTGTACGGGATATTCTGGAAAATGATGTACGTACCTATATAAAGAGTCTTAGAATATCTATTCTTCTCCCTCTTTCTCCAAATGTCTTCCATCGCTGCTTTTTTACTCGGTATAAAATCGGAGTATTTACCTTCTTGATTATATAATAATTACTTTAATTATACCATAAAAATAGGGATAATAATTTGGAAGAGAGAGCAAATTTCTCGCCGAAAATCTGATTGAATTTTCAACAGCATGATCAGCTGCTAGCGAAATGACCACAATCTTTGAGCTTAACGCTCCCATCAGCACAATATGCCATTCGATAATTTCACTCAAAATGGACGCTACTAAATTTGTCTTTCAATTAGAAACAGCTGTCCGGCAATATGACAAGCACCAACCTCAAATCAGCTTAGCCCTAGGTTGTAAAAATGTTTGTGTTTCGGTTGAAAGAAGGCATACACTCACTTTAACCCACACTTCTGGCATTCATACGTACATACATACACACAAAGATGTGATCACAAACACCAAGTTTGATTCAGCTAACTGTGACAATGGTTAAGGGTAGGCAGCACACTTACTTGTTATAAATGAAAGCACAAGGAACATATCCAACGCCACTTGAAACCACTTCATCTCATTTCCCTCTGCGCTTTGTGGCTGCCTGGGTGCTCCTTGTGCTGCTTGCTGCTGCTGCTGCTGCTGTTGCGTGATTGCTTCTTCTTCACCTTCTTCTTCTTCTATTGCTACTGCTACTGCGCCTTTACAACTGAATGTTGATGCCACTGCGTCTTTTGTGCCCGATGAGGCACGTGGAAGACTCAAATTGGTTGAGGTCTTCAGTAGAGTGGTGGCGGAGGGTGATGATGACAGGCAGTTTGAGGCGGAGTTTTGTGAATTGCGTCGAGCTCTAGCTGACCACGGACAACAATGCGGAAGTTGTTTGCGTTGTAAACGGTATTAGCGATGTTGCTGTTGTTATTATTCTTGTTACTGCACTTAATGTTGTTGTTGGTGTCATTGATATCGTAACTAGCTTAGTGTAAGCAGAGTTGTTGCCTTCATTGTAGTTGTTGCAGTTTGTTGGCAGTCGTAATTGCAGCAGCGTTTTAATTGCGTCCCAAAAATCAAAAAAAAAAAAAAGTAAGATTGTGCTGAAGGCAACTTTAATTTAAACTTCGCCCTCGACCTTCGGCTCGTCGTTCTATTATGTACCCTTCGGCGGACGGGCTCTGACGATGTGTGTGTGTGCTTGCCCCGGATTGTTATCTGCGACAGCAAATGTGTCTATTGCTGCTTTTGTGGTGATTGCGGTTTTTGTTGTTGCTGTTGTTGTCAAAGCTTTCGTTTATCCTAACGCTCCCCTTTCGTTTACTTCGGCTGCGACTCTGCTTGCCACGTGTATGTGGCAATGTTGCAAGTGTGCGTTCAATGTAGTACACTTGTTGTTGTGTTGCAACTGAGTCGTCAATGGCGGCGGTGGCGGTTAAAAAGCGTTTGTTAACTAACTTGTTTGCTGTTATTGTTTTCGTATTTTTATTTTTTGTTATTTTTTTTGAAATATTTTCCGCTGATTTTTCGCTTTCTGTGTCTTTAGTTTTTGTTGTTTTGGTTATTGCAAGCGTAGATTTAGGCATTTGTATTTGCAATTGTTGGCGACGATTACCGATGACTGTGAGAAAAAAATCTATTAATTCTAGCTTTTTTAAATTGTTAATACTGTTGTTTTTTTTTAAATTTACTAAGTGCAATTTAATATAATTTAATTTAATTTATTTAACTTAATTTATTTTTTTATGAAATATTTTTGTATTTGGCTATTATTTGCTTTGTTTTATATTAGTTACTTTTATTCAATTTGGTTTTACTTTAATTAATTTAATTTATTAATGTTTACCATTTTCATTTTAAATTTAATTCATTTCTTTTTTTCATTATATATCTATATACGTATATATTTTATTTTATCTTTTTTAATTTTTTTGTTTTTTTTATTTTATTTGATTTTACTTTTTTTCCTTTACTTTATTAATTTTTCAAAGTTATATTAACTTCATTATATTTTATTTTTGGTTATAATTTAATTTATATTCCTTTATTTTATTTTATTTTATTTATTTTAATTTACTTTATTTTATTTTTTTTATTTTTTTTATTTTGTCTTATTCTATTTTATTTTACTTAAAAGTATTTTATTTTATTTTATTTTATTTTATTTTATTTTATTTTATTTTATTTTATTTTATTTTATTTTATTTTATTTTATTTTATTTTATTTTATTTTGTTTTATTATATTTTATTTTGTTTTGTTTTGTTTTATTTAATTTAATTTTTTTATTTTATTTTATTTTATTTTATTTTATTTTTTTATGTTATATTATTTTAATTTATGTTATTTCATATTTATTTTATTAATGTATGATAATTGTAATTTATTTTATTTCTTTTTGTTTCCTCTTTTTTAGTTTTATTTTATTTTGCTTCATATATTATATTTTTAATTTATTTTTTAATATTTAATTTTATTTTATTTTGTTATATTTGACTACATTTTTTTATTTGATTTTACTTTTTTGATTTTATTTTTTTATTTCCTTTGGATTATTATATTTATTTTTGTTTTGAATTATTTTATTTTATTTATATTGTTTTATTTTATTTTAAATAAATTTTTCGTATATTGTATGATTATATATTCAATATTTTTTTATTTTATATTGTTTAATTTTATTTTATAATTTTCATTTTTATATATTAATGTAAGCTAATTTTATTTGCCTTTGTTTAATATTCTTTTATTTTTTTATATTTCCTATTGCTTACTTTTATGGTGTTTTCAAATTTAGTTGGTTTGGTTTTCACTTATCTCACAATCTCCTTAAAGTTGAGGCGGAGAATTTCGGCTTTTTGAGTTGTGTTTTAATATGTTGTTCTTATCTTCAATTTCTGCTACTTCATATTATTTTCTTTTTAATTTTGTGTTATTCCATTTCCTTATGTTTTGTTTTGCTAACGAATGTGTAACGTGAACACTAATGTTCAAAGGAAATAAATTCTATATTTATTCTTGTTGGCAGTTTTGTTTTTGGGTTCTGATGTTTATATTATTGTAATTATTGGAAATAAACCTTGTTGCGATTATTGTAGATTTTGTTACCGAAGATTTGAAGTTGATATTTTTGTCTGCAATTAAAGGAGAGAAAGGAATGTTTAGTTGATTTTGCAGGCAATTTAAAGGGGAAAAAGAAGAAAATGAAATAAAATTCATGCAAGTGGCATAGACTCTTAAATATACATCACCAACGTGTTCCTTATTTACTAGAAATTTTTTACTTATAAATAAAGATGTACATAACAATGTTTTTAACTTTTTATAGAATTTTGATTATTTAAAAGAATTTTCGTTTAAATACTTTATTTAAATATTAAATAAGTCCAAAACATTCAGGCTCGTTTTTGCATTTCGAATCTGTTAATATTTTTTTTACTCGCAAGCTTACGTAGGGTCATAGTGTCTGCCCTCTAATGTTTATTTGGAGTATGTTTGTGTGTTTTCTTGAGATACTGTATTGGTTTCATAATATCATCCCTGAACATCGCCTCTGAAATTTCTCACTGTTAATTACCCCACCAATGCGTAAAGTCTTCTGTCCGTTAACTGTTATCCATACGCAGTCGGTAACCATCACTTAGCAGGAACAGCGGCAGGAAGTGCATTGTACGCCCCATAATTGCTGCTGCAACCGACTGAGAGTGAGTGTGAGTATGTGATGTTAGCGCGCGATTACAACATCAATATATTTGCTAATGTGACATTTGAGTGGTGCTGCAATCGGATTACTCTTACGTCACGCATTACTGTTGTAATTTCGTAAAATTTTTCAGACCATATAATTTGAGCGGTGTTCGTGATTTGCATGCAACGCGTGCCCAATTAGATGGGTATGTATGTATATGTGTAAGTGTGCCATATGTGTGTATTTCATGTGAGTAAAATTAGCTGGAGGACCATAGCAATGTTTTTAAAGCTCCTCATACAACAGGGGAGTTGCACGAAAGTTGCGCAAAAGTTTTACACACGGTAGTGTTTGAGTATCAATTTCGATTTGTAATTTATCTATATATGTAGGTCACGGTCAAAATCAAGAAAATACCCTTTTACCTTTTACCCATAAGATCATTTGTATTCCTTCCGATTTCACTTGGCAGTTGCCTGCTATGTTTGAGGGGCGGAAAGTAAAAAGAAGCTTTGGTTTCGTCGCTTTTATCCCACGGTGCGGGAACTATTGTAGTTGTTGAAAAATAATATATATTGTCGGGTCTGATCGTCATGCGAGCACCGTTTCGATTGCCCAGATCCAAATATTGCACAAAAAACAGTTTCGAATCACTTGATAAAGACTGGATACACAAAGAAGCTCGCTGTATGGGTGCCACATGTGATAACGAGGAAAAACCTAATAAACTATGAGCCACTGCGGAATAAACTGTAATCAGTTGGGTCATCTGAGGGAAGATATTGCCCAGAAGCACCCAAATCGATAGTGAGTCGCAAAAATATCCCTGAGCTTGGTTGGGGTGTTCCAATGATTTCACCTTGTAGTCCGGACGAAGTGCTCAATGATTACCGTCTGCTACTGTCTACCACAAATGATTTGATGGTGGAGCAATGCCTTCGAAAGAAGCTTGTGAAAATCGATAATTTCATTGTTGTTTTACCAGACATTTTATATATATTTAATTTAAAGCAAATCCTTGGAGCAATTATAGGTGGCTCGTTGTACAATGCATAATAGGAGCGCTGAGCGCCAATCCAATTGTCCTTGGTGATTTCTCTGCTACAATCTTCGAGAACTGGGGAAGGAGGACAAAATATGTAAGAGGAGTAAGGACGTTAGGTAAAGCAGTCTTCAAGCTGCAATTAAGATGGGCAAACGGCAAAGGAATATGCGGTCTGCCAAGAAAACGTATGGATTACAAATGGCGGCTGGAGTGTGCACCGGAGTGTATTGCAAATCATTATAATGAAATTTCCGAAAGATCGGATCACCTGATCTAGCACTTTAAAAGACCAACGGGTCTATATGAGGGGCATAAGCCGGTCAGGGTAACCTGACCTGACCTCATCATTCCAGAGGCAGACAGTTAAAACAGTATAAGAACGTACGTGGATTTATTTCCGATGGCAACACCAGGATGTTTACATTTTTGCCGATTTCGGAGGTATCCTTTCTGTGTACTTTTCTGCAGAAAACGGGGTAGGGTACTTATATCGCAACAACCCGAATTTTTGTCTTCCTAAATACAATCACTCCCGCAAAATTCCCCAAAATATTAGTTTTAGGTATTATTTTTGCACCTACAACAAGAACAACAACTTCACAGAAGCGTATATTCTGTCAATATCCACATCACACACATATGTACGAACAAAAAAATTTTAAATTTAATTTAAAAACTCGCATAAAACTGTAAATTCCCGCCATATTAACGGTACTTGACTGAAAAGTTTCTTTGTTTGTATGCACTTTATTACGTATGTACGAGTATATACATACATGCATAAGTACATAACTTTTCATTTGGCCTTGAATGGCTTAATGTTGAAAATAAAAATGCATTCGAATTGCAATTTACAGTTTCCGCCGCAATCTTTTATTGAAATCTGACTGCATATGCGTATATGTATCATATGTATACGCATAAATCCATGTGTAGTATATAATTATATAGGGGTATCCATTTCGTTGTTTCAACAGCACAATGTTAAATTTTCACATCTGTCTGACTTAAGCGGACCCTCCCCTGATATTGGACAAAGATCAGGCAAGGTTTGTATTTCTTTGGTGGGAGAGTGAAAAGGTTTTGACTATTGAATTTGCTAATTATTTGAGATTTTGAAACGGCAAAATAGCAGTAGAAATTCATAATGATGGCTACAAAATGGCACTTTCCGTTGGCTTCTGAGCGAAAAACATGGCTCAAGAACTTCAAGCCTACAGCCTCTTGTGGTAGACTAAAATCAAAAAAAATAATAATAAAATTTTCTTCGAATTGAAGCTCAATTGAAACAATTTTAACAATAAGCTTATTGCAACCAACACCTACGACCACATAAAGTCCATAAGTCCATAAATACAAAAACTGAAGCCATGAAGCCAGTTTACCACTCACAACGCCTTACATATGTCGATTTGGGGGCATGAACAACAACAAGCATTTCGAACGATGAACCATATTTTTCACTCGGGGCAAAATCGTACCATTTGGGGCTCCAAGAATGCTAAAAAAATTGAAAGGTGCCACTCTTACATCACACAAAAGCTTACTCTCTGCTAGGCTCTTTGATCTGGATGTGTGATTGGGTTTTACTTCTTTAAAACTGTCAACGACTGCCACTGTCAATCCGAAGCTTTATGGTTGTATGGTAATTGACTTTTTTGGACCGCAATTGAAGAACCCCAAAGTCGTATAACAAATGAAATCAGGAAAGCAAACACATCACTTTTACATTTAAGCCAAAAACGTGCCCATCGTCAAGATCAAGGATGTGCCTATCCCTCAAGCTAACGAAATCACATACATTGGCCTCCATCTTGGATAGACGACTAGCTTGGAAGCGACACATTTCAGCCAAAAAGGTGCAGCTGAAGCTTAAATTTTCCAGTTTTCATTGTCTTTTAAACAAAAAACCTGAGTTTAGCCTCGGAAACAAAGTTCTTCTTTGAAATACGACTATAAAACCGATGTGAACGTATGGCATCGTGTTGGTGCAGCTTGCGCGACAAATTTCAGTCGAAAACATTGAGAAAAATAACAGGCACCCCACAGTATATGCGATACGAAAATATCCATAGAGATCTAAACATACGCACAATCCAGGAAGAGATGGAAATCTTTACACAAAAGCACAAAGCAAAACTGCAGCATCATCGCTTTGGCTATACCCCTCAGCAGGTCAAACGCGCCTGAAGGGAAGGGAGTTACTACGTTTGTAAAGAGCAAAACTCAGCCAGCAGCCCATTCCTCCGAGCTAATGGGCTATTATGTATTAGCTTAGTTTTTAAGATCTGACCACACAACACGAACGAATATGGCTTTATTGCGTATTGAATCCTCTCTCCGCTTGATCTCCCATTTAACGATGTCAATTGACCATTGAGATCATAATTTTTTAAATTAATTTTATTTACAATTTCTAAACCGCAAAATCGATTACCCTGTATATGCATGCATGAAATTATGATAATAAATCAAATGCAGACAGTCAGTTATATGTATGTGTCTGTGTGACTTTATGGACATTGAGTGATTTACAAGCATATTAGTAAATTTATATATCTCTCTGTATACATATATAGGAGTAAGTATGTATGTATGTATGTATGTATGTGTGTGTGTATAAAATGCATGTCCATATCATTAGTGAATGAATTGAAAGCAAAAATAACTAACTGTACATATATAGTCATATGTATGTGTGTACATGCCTACATTTTATTGTGCTGCATTTGTGAATGGAAGTGTAAAAACCGACAGACAGATCAGATGAATGACGACGTTGCTATTAAACCGTTATTCACATTCAAATTACGATATGCGCTCGCATTGTATTTAAATTGCAGCGCGATAACAAAGTGAATGGTTTTGTATTATGAAACTATTTTCGGTTATACATATGTATACCCTACAGGGTATATAACTAATTGTTAACTAGAATCCAATTGTAACTAGTTCAGATTCCAGCTATTTTCCATATAAGAAAGTGGTATTTTTAAAAGGCTGATCTCATACACCAATATTTAGTATATACATCAGTTTCATATTAGTTAAATACCAGTTCATATATATCAGTTAAAATACTAGTATGTTTATACCAGTCGAGACCTAATTTGCCTTAGACTAGTCTGTATTGTGCTGGTCAACAACCAGTTGGTTTGATTCCGGCATTTTAGTTTCAACTCGAACCGAACATTAAAATTATGAATATTTTTGTGTGTCTCCAGGTAGATTTGGAATGGTTTTGAACAACTTCTTCCATGGTAAATTGACTAGGGACCAACTTTACTTAATTTTTTTTATATATTTAGTGGATCAGATATCGATCAATAATCTTGAAGCTTAATTGGGACTGTCCATCATTTTTTACAATTGAACAAAGTATAAAAAATCATAAGAATATG